GGTGTGGTGATTGTGCGGTGACAACCACTTCTCTGGAAAATGGTTTGCAGATTCTTGGTCCTGTCCGCTATCAGCAGAAACAGCCTTAACCTATACGGCCATATATAATGTGACTGCACGTGGTGCTGGTTGCCAGTGGTGAGCAATAACTTCGTTGCTGTAGCATAAGCTTGTGTTTCCTGCATTGAGATTTATACTTAATTTTTTTTTTTTTTAAATAAATAAAACCTACAGTGTAATGATATTTCTCAGGGTGATTGCCATAGTGAGTGGCAGGGAGTATTCAAAGAATCACAGAGTAATTCAGGTCAGAAGGGACCTCTGGAGGTCATCTGGGCCAGCCCCTGCTCAGAGCTTCTCCTGTTAGACCAGGTTGCAGAGGACGGTGTCCAGCTGAGCTATGGGTGGCGAGCCATAGCTGCTCTGGGCAACCTGTTCCCGTGTCTGGTCACCCTCACGGTGAAAAGCATTTTCCCTCATGTCTAACTGGAATTTCTAACGCTTCACCTTGTGTCTGTTGCCTCTTGTCCTGTCACTTTTCCTCTGAGGAAAGTCTGACCCCATCTTCTCTGTACCCTCCATCGGACGGCTGAAGGCCATGATACGATGTCCCCTTCGCCCTCTCGTCTCAAGACTGAACACAACCTGGGTGGTTTCAGTGAAAAGCCTTTATTCCTCATGCCTATTGCTGTCCTGTTCTCTAGTCCCGTCCTGCAGCTGTAGCGGTACATGGCTTGTTTCATCAGTAAGGGATATATCGGGGTTTTTTGCTTTGGGAGTGAATGAAGCCTGAATAGATCAATTGTGTGAGTGTTGGGGTCCTGAAGGAGGAAATGTTATCACATAAATAGTTTGTTGTTATGCGTAGATTGAAGTGCCTCTCTTGAGGACTGTGGTTGTTATGTCTTTGGGAGAAAAAATGATGTGCACATTTAAGTATATCTGACCCCCCCCACCATCACAGATTTTAGAAAGATGCCTGGTCCCAGGCATCTCAGCTCTGGTATCTTCTTCATCCTCCACAACCTTGGCTACATCTCTAAGCTGATTTAGAGACAACCTATGCTCCCAGGGGATCTAGCAGACAAAACCCATGGTCTTATCATCATCATCACTCTTGAATTTACTTGTGCTGTAAGACATGTGTAAAAGCAAGTTGTTAGTCTACATCACCCTGTTCCTGTACTGAAGCTGCCAGGCTGCTGCTGCCCAGACCGGCCCACAGCCACGTGCCGGAGGACTGGTTTAGATGGGAGGGGGATACAGAGCTAACGATCCAGGTACACCCGCCGCAGCAATAGGGCCAAAACCCGCTGTGCTACGGAGCCTTCAGACGGTCCATCTTCCATGCGAGACTTTTTCCTTTGGTGCTACAGTTGGGATCCCCACATGGAAAAAGCAAGGTGGGAAGCACAAATGGGAAACCCTCAGTAATTTTACTGGCTCTGTGTCAGCTCTGTGGAAGGCTGCAGCCCTATCTTTTTGCTTCTCCTCGTAAGACATGTTAGCATGCTGGCAAGTGCCAGAGGTTTGTATGTGCTTTAGCAATATTGGCATAGGTTTCCTACAAGAATGAGTCTTCAATCGGCTTTTTGTTCCCCACCCCAAGGATGGAGAACATTGCTCATCTGTTATGCCGTCACCCTGCACTCCCAGCCCGCTGCCGTGTCTGTGTGTCCCCATCTTGTGTTTGGCTGGCAAGCTCCCTGGAGCAGAGCCGGGCACGACGCTACAGCTCCTGGCAGGAGGGGCCCCAATCCCCCGTGGAGGCTCTCTCCTTACCCCGGCACATCCCACGGCTCGGGAGGTGCGCACAGCTCCGGGGAGTGCTGGTCTGGGGTAGCTGTGCTGGCTGTTGCTAAGGCTTGGAAGGCAATTTTTCAGAAGCTGTTTATGTCCCCAGTTCAAGCTCAGGCTCCTAAATGTCCTTTAAAATTCCCCCTTTGGTTTGTTTGTTATATATTTATAAAATATCCTTTCATTCGCCTCAGAGGGACATTTCCAAATTTTAAAACTAAGTAGGCAGGGGTTAGGCTCCAGGGCCAATGCTTCTCCCAGCTGCGTGTGGCCGTCTGAACTTCAGAAACAGCTTTGGCTTTGCACCGCAGCAACGCAGCTTCTGGTTATTTGCTACTTGATGAAAATAAATGAAAATCAGCGGATCCTCGAGTGCTGAACACTTGAGGGCTGTTCCGGACTGCCTGGAGAGCAGCCAGCTATCTGTCATCTGTATTGCCCTCTGTGCTACGGCGGAGCCCCGAGCGCAGCAGGACTCGGCCGTCAGCCACGTGTGGGGTCACCCTGCTTGCAGCTTTGCAGCGAGGCAGACAGCGAACGGGGAAGCCCAGGCAGACGCTCCTGCTGTTCTGGCCGAGGAGACCCGGCGAGGGCTATCTCCCTGTCCCTAGGTGCGCTGGCTCCAGAGCAGCTGATCAGCGGCTCACTTTCACAGCTTCCTCACAAGAAGACATGACCTGGGCAGTAGGCCTGCCCCACGCTAGGCTCAGTGTGTCGTAAAGCGAGGGGCTGCCACGCTGCACCGCAGCTGTAAGGTACTGCGTCCCACTCTGCCCTGTTCGCCTTGCTCTGCCCAAACCCCTGCAACGGCCGCACTGCCACTGATGCATTCATGTTTCCCGCTTCTCCCTCCTTGCTGCCTTTCTGCCGCCAACATCTTCCCACTGCCCTGCCCCAGTAGCATGCTGTACATTTTCCAGATTTTTTTTCATGAGAAGTTTCCATCAGACCATCCACTGAGCGCTGCACAAGGCCGTACCCGCGCACACGTAGCGATAACACGCTCAGGAACTAAGGCTGCTTCCTGGCCCAGGCAGAGCAGCCCTCCGGCACGCCAGGGCAGAACAGCTATTGTCTGTGCAGCGCGGGCTCTGCAGCGGGGGAAACGGCCTTCCCACCTTACCCGCAGGCCTGCACGCTTGTAAACCATGACCACGCAACAGGAGGAACCAAAGTAACGTCTTCTTCATCTTCTCTTTAATGTCATAACACCTCCCACAAAGCCTGCTACCATTTGGAGGAGTTACTATTTTCACGTTATCTGAACACACTTGTTCCACATTAATGTTCAGGCCAGTCTTAATCTAAAATTCTCCTGGTGAAGCATCAGAAGCACTCACGTGTGATGATCGAGGGAACGCATGTACATAGTGTACGGTGTCCATTGAAAACGGTCTCCTCTGGTAGGTGGCAGGCTGAAAGTCATTTGAAAAGGAAATAATTCTCCTGTTTAACTTCTGTCCTGTACTGGCCTTCAAAAGGGTGGGGATGAGCGGCTAATAAGAAAAGGTTATTATTAACCCTCAAACATTATCTACTCACACAGCTGTCCTACGGCACATGCCAGTATTGCCAAGTTTGAGCTCAGCTGATGCAGTAATTGATGGATGTAGTGAAAGAATCATTAACGTAACAAACCTGACCAAATGTTGTGTGGCAAATGGAACTGGAGATGAGAGAAGGCTCTATGAGTTCTACAGTATCCTCAATACTGAGAAAAACTAACCCATTTCCCCCCAAACTACACAAAGGTGAGAAAACACAGGCAGAACGTTTAACGTAAACACTTATTACTGTAGGTACATATGTATGTTTCTTGCACTAGCTAAAGAAAAGAGTGATTTGACCTGGGATCCCCTGCAAAGTCTGTACGTGCATTTCAACCAGCACATGTGCCAAAACCCAGACAGCCCAGGGGATAGACACACTTGGCATTTTGGAGTGAGAGCGAGAAGAGGAGGAGGGAGAGCCAGCATTGCGTATAGGCTCAGAGCAACGATAGCCTGTACACATGAAGCACACTGGAAAGGCCAGGCTGCACGCTGGAGAACTCAGAGGGGCTCTTCAACCCAAACAGGATCTGCAATTAGGATCTTCCACCCCCACTTCCAAACACAGCAGCCTGGCAAGTATCCACCCGGGAGTGCTACTGCAGCCTCGACCGCAAGGAGGGAAGGTGCTCTGGAGGAAGTATTCTCCCCTTGTACTTCAGTACTGGGCTCCACAGGTGTTTGCCTGAATACAGCTGCACGTATCCTGGTCTTAGGCACCAAGGCAGTGCTGGGCCACAGCCCAGCCCTCTTGGATTCAGCCTAAAAGCCTAGCTGCTGAAGACTGATGCATACCTGGGCATGCCAGCTTTAGTTTAGATTTTAAAATAAAACTTTCAGCCTTTCTGTTTGCGACGGCTGTTAGCATGACCTCAGCATAACCACTGTCAGAACACAATTTGTCCAAGTCTGCAGAGAGCCATTAATGATAGCTCCGAGGGGAAGAAGGATTTTATTAATCTTCACAGCATTTTTAATTCCAAGACAGTATCTAAGCAGCACTACTGATCAAAGAACGAGATGTGGCAGAAGAGCACAGGGCTGACCGCTCAGCTTTACACACTTTGCAAAAGGAAATAATCCAAAGTGCATCATTATGCCTGCACTTCTCTGGGTGATTTGGGAGTGGGTGGCCAATCCTGCTGTTCTCATAAAGAGATGGAAGAGCATCGTCTCACTCTCTGTGAGGGAATCCCTCTTTCCTTGTCAGCCAGAGCTGAAAAAATTGCACCAGAAAAGTAATCACTGCCAAGGTGCAGGGCACTTTGTGATTTTTGCAGGTTGCAGTTCGAGACCTGCATCCTCTGGGGGTGTGCAGATTATCACTGATGTGACCTCCCTGCAGCTCTTCCATAGCTTATGCTAGGCAAGGTCACTTAACCGTACATGTCTCAGTTTACTTGTGAAGGGAGGTTAAACATTAAAAAGCAACAGACAAAAGTATTTCTTAAGATTTTATAAATATCTAAAACTGGAACTTTTAAAAGTATAAGTTACTCAACTGATATATCAAGAAGCAGTGATGAGGGAACGGGAAGTCAACAGTAACAAACTACTTTAACACAGTGTCTCCACACTCAGAGGTGCTCCACTGAAAGAGGTGCGGTATCTTCACGTGCCTGATGCTTGGCAAAGCATTAGCAGAGATACTGTTTAGAAATCTTCATCATCGAAGGTCTCTGTGCACCTCAGCATCACAGTCTCATAATCAAACTGAAGATCTTCTTCCTGAAAGCCCCCCCAAAGTCAAGCAGGATTAAAAACCGCAGGATTTGATTCTGTTTCAAATACACAGTGGGTTGGTCATAGAATCATAGAATCATAATGGCTGGAAGAGACCTCAAAGATCATCAAGTCCAACCGTACACCTGATGCCACCCTGTCCACTAAACCATGTCTTGTCAAGTGCCAACATGTCAGCTAATGCGCCACGAGCCCTCCTTTTCCAAATCAACAACCAGCACTTGTCAAGTGCCTGAGGTGCCCGATGAAGAATGGCTCAAATTTTCAACCAATTTCTTTCTAAAATCACAGAGCCCCACCCTGTGTCTATTTACATCATTTAGACAGCTGTTACTGACTGTGTAGCAAGTGGGTCACCTAACAGGCTCAGAAGATGGGAGAGCTTCCTTGAGCCCTTAACGTCTGCCGACTTCAGGCTTTGATGCTCTTTTAGCAACAGAAGGAAATGGTCTTCTCTTTCACCAGCTTACAGAGAATAAGCGGCTCTTGAGAAATCAAAGTCTAGGAGATGAAAGTGCTCATGCCTGCAGTCCATCTAGTCCACCTTCCACATTAATGCAAGACTCTTTAGGGTAAGATTGCTTTTAAAAATAGGTGCTGTTTAAAAAATGTATAGCTTAAGGAGCACTAAATCCCACTTACTTGTCAAGTGACTCATCTAAAGTCCATAATTTTAAAAGGAAGCATGCCTTTGAAGATGCAAAGGTGCTCAGTGCTATTTAGAAAAAGAGCCACCGACTTTCACTTAGATATTGTAAAACCTTTGGACCTCAATCTAAATTAATTCTTTACTGCCTTTGCTCCTAAGCATCTCTTATGACGTGACCCTAGGACAACAGCTCTTGAAAAATGACAAGATTGCGTAACTAATCGCATGCTCAGAAATATTTCTCTACCATGTAGAGAAATTTTTGGGTCACTGTCCTTCTAAGAGCCCTCCCTTTCCTTGTTCAAATGATTTCCTCCCTCCTCTTGTGTCAGTCTTTCTCAAGCGTTTTATACCAGTGGGGTGCATGCCCTTGGCAGCCTTGAGAGCCAGGCCAGCAGCTCAAGAGGAGCTGCACTCCGTGGATCTGTGACTACGAAATGGTGAACATATACAATCCAACAAAGTACTTTGTACCTGGACAGTTAACCAGAAATGGCGTAACATAGCGCTGTTATGTAATGATCAGCAATAAAACCCGTCACCTCATCAGCTCTGCAGATGAAAGGAAAGGAGACCATAGGCTGCCCTTCAGTATTTCAGTTGGGTGCACATCGCATGCCTTGCCTTGGTACGGCACCTGCTGCCCACCTCTGTATCTTCTACAAGATGCATGCACAGTGCACCAGGACATCACTGTATCCTCGGGATGAGTTATCTCAGCGCTGCCCAAACCCCTGGGTTAGCGTAGCACTGGCACAGGTACCATATCAAGGGAAGGGGAATGGTCTGCAGGGGTTCAGTCACACCCGTAAGATAAGCAGGAACGGCTCCTTTCCCTGTCAAGTCCAGGAGTCTCCGATGCTCTGAGTAGCACAATTTCTAGGGCAAGGTATGTAGCCTGTACTGAGATCTCTGCTGCTGCCTGAGTTGGTGTGTTTCAAGCTAGCTGGAATGCCTCCTATCCCCACTCTGCAACCACTTCCATAACTGCCTCAATCTGCCTGCTTTGAGATGGAGCTGAATTTCTGCTCTCAAAACAAAAAAATTCTTGTCAGTCATATTTTTTTTGTTTCTACCTCTTGGCAGGACTTGCTAGATGTGCTGTACTGCAGTTATCTAAACCAAAACAGATTGTGACCTTCACATTATCAGTGCTCTCTAGCCTGGGCGATTTCTGCTCAAACTCCTTTTTTATTGTCTTATCACAGACAACTCAAAGTTCCTGCATAAAAGAAGTGCATGCAGCCTTTTGTTTTCCTTTGGATCCACAGAGCTCAGTCAACTGCCAATTTGCAGTACTTCAGCTTCTTTTGCTGCCTGTCTTCTCATCACACCCATTCTCCTAGTCTTATTTCAAACGTTCCTCTTTAAAGCTTGAAAGAGACACTACCTCTTCTCATACCACCTCATCTGGAAGCTGTGAGATGGACTTGGCCTCACATATAACAATGCAGCACCAAGCAGAACGACAAAATGGGACCACCCAATACTACCAGGCATGACATTCAGAAAAGAAATTTAAAACTGGAAAATACTGTATCTTGCCTATAGCTTTTCCTTTCTAGGCATGCTCAGTTCGTGGCCATTTACATAAACACAGGAAGAGCTCTGCCCTTACGCAGAACATAGCTATTCACAGACCAAAGGGCTGTGTCGATCAGTGTGTGGTCTCTGACAACGGCCAGGAGTGGATGCTTAGACAAAACATGCAAGAATTGCGCACGCAGTGTGCTCTGTTCCACAGTACGCGCTCCCACATTACAGTAAACTGTGCTGTGAGGACCTTCTGAGCTAGAAATTGTATCTGGACCTTCAGATTTAGTAATTGCTGATGGATTGATGCCCCAGGGGTTAAATCTGGTAACTTGCACGTGCAAGTATTTTTAGTATGTTGTTTGTTCGTTTCATCGAGCACTTTCTAGTTCTTCTGGTGTTAGACACAATGAATAATCATTCTGTGTACCAAATCCACACCATTTAGGATCAAAATTCTCTCACGGTACCCCTCAGTCTCTTTTGCGGAAGAGTCCTACTCTAGTAGCTCCTGTTTAATGCCTTTTGCTGTGCCTGCTGCCATTCTCTGCACCTCCTCTAGTGCTACTCTCTCCTTGGGATGGGGGGAACCAAATGGCAGGCAGCAGTCACTATGTGATAGACTCAGATGGTGGTGCAACACTAGTTTCTGCTTTGTTTCCTGTCCCAGTTACCCCTCATCACAAACACTCTACTTTCTTCAAAGGAGCATCTGCTCAAGTAACAGAGACTGGGTGGAAGCTAGGCGATAGAAAATAGCAAACCAGTGGCTACTGTGGACATATAATTGACTCTGAGCCCAAACAAGCATGCTCTGGCTGGGGGACATCTCCCTTTCAGTCCTCCACCCATGTGCGAGCTCTGAGCCACCTCCTTGGCAGGAGGGCAAGACGGGGCGGAAGAACACTGCAAACACAATGACTTCTGGCTCAGCAAACCTGCAACAAACAGCTGCCGAGCTGCCTCTATCAGCTCTTTCAAGAGCACAAATACCCTACCCCTAAGGCCTGCCAGTGGAGGGCTCAGGGTAGGGAACCTGGCACCCAGACAAGCAGAAGGTGGTCCTACTGAGCTCGGAATGAAACAGCTGAGGTTAATGGAGAACTGCAAAGTGAGCTTCGCCTGCTCAGATGAGATCACTCAGGCTTTTGTACAAGGAACTTTCATGCAAACAACAACAAAAAAATAATGTAATTTGCCATTTTCAATAATATTCTAAGCAATAATAACCCCTCACACTTTGCCTCTTACAAAGGCAATCCTACTGACCTTTTGGAATGAAGTGATGAACCCCAAGTTCTCATTTGAAATGATTCTGGACAGTATGATCAGAAGCACAGAGAACAGAAATCCCTTTCCGACAATGACAGAAATACATTGCTCCTTCTATAAAGAATCCTTTGGCAAAATTTACCTGGCAAAACAGTGTATTAGCAAAGAGGAGGCTTTTTAGGAAGTCAGTGATCTGCAGATAGAGTCTGTGGTGATCCTCTGGATTTTCAGAACTGCAGCTTGCAAATGCTGAACTGAAAATGGAACCAGATGCTGCATTTAATTTCCTGTTCCCTCATTTCTCCTCCTACTTACTTTCTCTCCTCCACATTTTACTTATAAATTAAAAAAGATTCAAACTGTTTTCAAGATGATTCTGATATTAAAGACAATAGCCAAGCAAGACAGGGAGGAGTGGAGGTGGACATATTGACGAGATATTGTCTAACAAATGCAAGGAAGATATGTAAGAACAGAGAACAGCAATACAAGAAACCAGTATCACAACAAAGAAATCCACTGAAACATGACAGCTATAGTAACACTACTTTGAGGAAAAGTACATATCCATTATAACAGTGAGCAACAATGGTTGTTTGGTGGTGCATTTTGTAGGGTTGTTCAGAGGAACAGCTTTGACTTCTTTTGTAAAATTTTTGAGTGAATGCAGTAACATGTAGTCATGAAATGATGTATTAGCTATTACTGACATGTTTGTACTCAGGTAACAGCTAACTTTGGCAAAAAGCTAAGATATTAATTCTGGACCTCACCTCTATGTTCTCCCTGGGATTTTACAAAGTTACCTGCTTCTAGGTGAACCTGCTTTGGCAGGGGAGTCGGACTAGATGATCTCCCGAGGTCCCTTCCAACCCTGACCATTCTGTGACCATCCTGTGATTCTCTGTCCAGAATTACAAGGCACAGAGTGATAGGGAAGGATGGGAACAGGATAAATGTTGACTACTGAAATACTAATCTAATTTGGGACTTAAAACAGATTGCAAAAATGGTGGCAATATATTGCAGTATTAAGGAATACTTAATCTTATTTTAAAAGCAAAGAGCAATTGTGACCTAATAAATGTTATTTAATGGATATATATTTGTTAAGCTTTATTATGTATTCGAGTATATTCTGATCAACAGCCAAAACAACCTTATTTGCATTCATTCTGTTCTGGAAGTGCAAGGTGGTGAAAGAGACTCACACTAAAGAACTCTCTAACTATGGAAAGATAAGTAGAAAATGGGATTTAAAAAAAAAAGATAAAAAACACTATTTGCAAAGAGAAGCAATCCTAATGAAGACTAAGTAGCAAGAATGCATAAAGATGAGTCATAATGTGATTTTCCTCTTGAGGAAAGCAACCCTTTTCTTTCTTTGGTCTACTGGGAAAAGTGAAAAGCAGTGTTAGTTTTGTATCTGCCATTCTCTTTTAGGCAACTCATCTGACCTGCAGAGGAAAGAGATGTTATTATTTAATAGGTCTTGTGTTTCTTTGATGTTACTGTTCAGGTCAACCACACTTTCGCTTGATCACCTCCTTGTGATTGAATTATGGTACTTGAAAAAGGTAAGGGAGACAATGTTAAAAAAAAAAATGGTAATTTTTGTCTCATTAAATGAGAGTACAGCTTATGATTAGCTGACTTATCCAGGGAATGCCTTATGGTCCTCATAGACCTGGTAAGTCAGAGAGAGAAAAGGAAAACATTACAAATACTGTAATTCGAAAAGACAGAAAGCTATGCAGAGTGGTGAAGAAAATCAGAAGGACCTCAGTTATCCTGAAGTGATGGGGTACTCTTAATAAGTGATTCTTACTGATTCTGCCATAAATGCCTATTAATAATTTCATTTTTGCACCTTAAGAGATGGTATTATTGAGAGCACAATTGCTGGAGGCTGCTACTCTAACCATTTACTAAAAATTAGGCACAAAAAAGGAAGCTATGCTATTGCCTTGCTCCACAGAAAACTTGCCATGGAGTATTGACAGTGCGCTATTAACTTACTCTGCCTAGCAAAAGGGGTGAGTTTGTAATTTACCTCTGGCTAGACGTTCCCTGAGTCTCGTTTCTGTCAAGGAAACCAGCAGCAACATCAAACGCATCTTCAAACATTACCTATCAGAGAAAACACTTCAGATGTCCACATATCCAGACACCTAAAAGTTTTACCTAGGGCATAATTTTTCATAATGAAGTCTTTAAAAGCACGATAGTCTTTCTTTCCATTTAAGAGGTACATTTATGGCTAGAGTAAACCAAGAGGGTTTTGTGGAGAAAGAAATAACAAGGAATAACTATTTCATGACTAGGAACACAAGGTTAGTCCATTCCCTTAGGCCTGTGCTTCAACCTCTAGGAATTAGATTTAAGATTACATCTCCCAGAAAATACATAAAACACATGAATTGTATCAGTGCTTTAGGGACTTGACTGTGGGCTGCTGCTTATGGCGGGAGATCTGAGCTGTACCAGCCAGTATCCCCAAATCTGATTCCAGTGTGTGACCTGGCTTACAAAGGAGTTGAGATGCTCCCTGTGACAGACCGATAAGCTCAGTAGTTCACTTGGCCATAATGCAGTTCACACGTTTTTGGTGCCAGGAAGTACTGTACATGCAACATCCCCATGACATTTCCTAAGGAGGTCAGCAATATGAGTTGTGTCCTCTGACTCAAAAAGAACTTGTCAATGCAATTTACTTCTATGCTAAAGGTGAACATCTGTCCGTCCCTTGCAGCTAATAAAATTACACACATGTCTTTGAGCAGCTAACTGCTTAAGTAATCACTGCTCCAGGAACAGTTTACAAAGAGTTGGCTGTTACTTCATCTCTTTTTAACAAATGCCTTGGTCTACTCAGTCACTGACTTCTTGGCCCTGCAGAGGTGCATGGCACAGGCAGTCATTAGCCCTGTACCACTGGAACTGGTCTACGAATACTTCCTCTTTGCTACCAAGTTCTTTGATGAAAAAAACCACCCAACCCAAAACACAGCAGGCCTTGGCAAACTAGGTATTCCTTCTGGATTTAGATCAGCCGCGCTCCTTGGAGAGTTTGCAGAGCACAGTAGCTGTGTAATTCTTGCTCTTGCTCCCTCCCCCTGGAGCAAGTTAGAGCAAATTTAACTGTTACTTAGCCCAGAAACTCTACAGGTCAGTGGAGACTAGCAGGATTACTACCACTGCACTCCTATAGCTTACTGTGTATCTTACGAAGGGAGAATTCGGTGCAGACATTTACTCAAAGACTGCTTATTGTCTCCACGTATGCATTCAAGTGGTCTTGGGAAAGCTTAATTACAACTACTATATGTTTCCAATTAAAAGCTGCACAGCCAATTAGCATCTGAAGGCTTGGAGTTTCAGAGGCAGATGGATGTATGTTACTGAGCACTTACTTCCTCTGGTGTGGAGACTGAGGAACCACTGGCTTCCTCACTGTTACCTCGGCTGTCCCTCACACTACCTTCAGTGCACGCAGGCTCTTGGCAAGCAGCCTTAGGATCCATGAGGAAATCTCTCTGGCTACAGTACTGCAAGATGCTGTCTCTCCTTTCTTCAGAAAGCTCTTGCCAGAGGTGGGAAATAGCCGTGGAGACCTCAGGAAGAGGCACCTCCTCAGTGCAAACAATTCCATGCTCTATCAGCAGGTCCACCGTGTGCTTATAAAAATACAGGTATCTGTAATGAAAGGAAAGGGCGCATCCCTTAAGAGCAGGCTACGAGGCAGCCATCTACTGAAAAGCAGCAGGAGACTGGGAAGCAGCTCTGATTCATAACTACTTCACTGACTCCCCCCTTGAAGACTTTATACAATTACTGAAGGTTGCCCAACACTGTTTGAAGATTTTTAGCAACTCTGTTCTGCCAAGAATTCATCTGCAAAAGGCAGGCTCCAGCCACAGCCTCAGCAGGGCTGCCTCACAACAGAAGCTCCAGGCGCTGCAGGCTGTACTTGTTGCACAGGCAAACCTCATTCTGGCATTTAATAAATTTCAGTTACTTGCCTTTGTATCCTGAGGCTTTTACACTGAAAGTCACTTTTTACATTTTTACTGGCATTGCACTACGCTTCAAAGCCTTGGCTGAGGTCATATCCTGACGTATTAGGTACTATACAGACGCAGATAGAAAGAGACCACCCCAGGCCTGGATGCTCTGACTTAAATAAGCATGGGAGCTCAATTTCCTCCATTTTACATCCGAGGAAACGCACCCCTAAGACTGATTTTTATGCAGTCTGTAGTGAAACTGTTAATGGAACATAAATGTTGTAATTTCAACCCGGTGACTAAATCTCGGAATGGGCCCACTTCTTCTGTTAGCACTGTGTGGCACAGTGAACCAGGGATAAAAATGTCTGCTTTGGAAAGCTGCACTCAAGGTTATTTTACGTTAATTAAATGCTTAGAGCTTCTCAGATGAAAATAATGAGATCAAAGGAATACAAACCAAGAGTTCTATAAACAGCAGTCATTGTTACTAAGTTTGGGCTCAAAATGATTCCTTGGAAGATGTCCCAAATAAGCATGTTTCCTGATTAACTGAACAGTATTGCATGAGAAGGTAACTCAAGAGAGTTCAGTCTTTACTTTTTTTTTTTTTAAAATTTGTTCCAGGAAACTAATATTGAAAATCTTAAGGTAATTTTGCACGCAAGTATAAACATGTTTAAACTCCAGTTTCCATACTCTGGAGTATTTTCCACCATTGCTGGAGACAAAAATATCATGTAAGGTATTGTGCTCGCTAAGGATTCTGGATGTCCAGCTCCAAACAAAGGGTCTGGAGTTTCTCAAACAGAAGAATATGAATCACCGTTAGACTGCTTTGCTAAAGAAATTAAGCTTGAACCATGGCTCAACTATTTCCTTCCCAGCTGGAAGGAGACAACCACATTTTGCACTGGACAGAGTACTGTGTACTCCTACCAATGTACCTCCTGCTGCTGGATGTGGAAAAAAAACCCAGTCGGTTGAAGCTCAAAGCATTTCTGATGCTGCCCAAATAATACAATTAGATGATTGCCAAAAGGCTGTTATTTTCTTTGCTGAAGAGTCTCTATTGTTTTATGCCTGTTATAAAAGATCATTTTTTGAGAAGAATTAGCTATGAACCAACTGCAGTCTGCTGTAAGACTGTAAGGTAAGCGCCAGAGTCCACACGGTACAGGCCCTGGTCTACCTTGTCAGTGAGGAAGGAGAAAGTCAGGTCTTCATGCCTCTGTCGTGCAGTCTTTGATGGAGTAGAGCTTACTTCCCCCAGAAAATCTTGACTGAACACATTTCAAGGTCTTGTGAACGACACCTTACTACAGCCACCTCCGATTCTCAGAGGAGCAAAAGCGGGAATGGCAGCGGGAGGCTGGTGCCATCTGCCGACACAGCTGCAGTCTCATCTTGATGAAAAAATAATCCAAGGGAATTTTATAAAAAGGCCCCAGTTCAAAGCAAAAGAAAAGAAGGAACTGCGGAAGTTTTTGTTTATGGCGGTGACGCTGTGGAAAAGGATGCCAGCTGCAGCTGCGGATTCTCCTGCACTGCAGATTCTTAACTCTGGACTGGTCAGGGTGAAATTGCCTCTGCTTGATGGTACAGGATGGATTAGACAACCATCTGTTTCTCAAATCTTTCAATGAAATGATCATTTATAATTTTGGAAAAGCATCTGTGACCTCCAAGTACCTCCGAGTGCTGTCTGACAGCAAGGGGAAGAATGTGATGAATAAGGTACTCAGCCTTAAGATATCAATACCTTTGAAAAAAACCCAGTAATGTTACCATTACAAGCCCAGACTAAAACATGTGGACGACTGACAGGACGACAGTGGCCTTTGATTTTTAGGCCCTGCATCAGGCACTTAGGAGCTGATCCTAAAGGGGGTTGCAGACTCGCACCCACTAGCTATAAGTGTAACACACATGTAAGTGTTTAGGTTCCCCTCCTTCTCCCTGTGTTGCAGACATTTTGAGGAGTGCTTTCTGGTATCTTCCAGACCACCACTATTCTGCAGCCCACAGGCTGAGGACTACATGATCTCCCTGGTCACATCCAGACTTACCCTGCTCTGATCCCACAAAAAATGTACTCCAGGCTTCCAGGAGTTAAAGGTCTACTTCTGGAAGGGCAATAGTGTTCAACCTCCTCATAACAATGCCATTAGAGGCAGGATGAACATCACTGTGTACCTCCCCAGAACACATACAGCTAGACTCTTGAGAACTTCATCTGGAGCTGCAATTCCTACATCCCTAAAATCTAGCCCCATTGCAGGGATACAACTTGATAGTGGGTACTGATACCACAAACACACAGGGACACGCATAAATCGTTCTGGATGAATAACCTTCTATTCCATCTGAGCTTGCCAGTTAAACCACTACTGTTAGCAGGTATACTGCATCTTACCCTGCAAGCCATATGGAGAGTGGTAAAGCATGGCCACACAGGGACTGGTACTCTTGAAAGAAATTTTTTTCTCTTTCTGGAGGATGGGTGGAAAATCCTCAGGGATTTTCCAAGGCCTGGAGAGCTGGGGGCTACTATGACGCTCAGAGTCCATTCATATGGAAGTTGCAGGTAAGGTACTTGGGAGGTGCTCAGCTTCATCACCAGCAGGGCCAAAGTTGCTGGCATAAGGCTTCTGCAAAGCAGATGCAGGCTCCAGCAGGGCTGCACGGTGTTAATGCAAACAAGTCAAAAAACTGAAGGCAATGTGGGGTGCACCTACCGTTCAAATTCCACCAGATCTGGGGATGAAGTGTCTGAAGACTGGATCAATTCTGGCTTCCCATCCTCTTCCAGTGTTTGTTTTTCACATTCTTGAATCAAATACCAGACAGTAGAGTCATTCTCACTCACAGCTTCTGAGGCTGATGCAGTGCTGGAAAGAACACACAGGAAAAAAAGCCACATGAACAACTTCTTAACTGGATTAATAAGGCCTTTGTCATGGTCACTCCAGAGTCCAAGGCCATCCTTCCCAAGCCAGCTTTCTCCTCCTCCATTTGCTTTGCAGGCAAATGAGAAGTCCTTGGTGGAGATCAGCTACATAGAAGGGAAAGGAAATGCAAGCACTGACTGGAAATGAGACCAACAACATGCTCAGAGTGTTTGTGCACTGTACAGGATTACAGGGGTCCAGGTGAATTCCCTTCATCTTTTCCTCACGATGAAAGGCCTCTGCTTGGAAATTCAGTAATAATAACACAGAGGTTCAGAGATGTTGGGATGGAAACAAGTACAACGTATTATCATCTTTCCTTGACTGGTATAAGCCCTTACCTGTGACTGCTGAAGTGCCTCTTGACATATTCCTCCCTGACTTCCTCCAAACTGGATGGGTTCCCATCCTCCAGACTGAAGGACTCTGTTGTCAGCAGAAAGGTTACTGTCACATCAGTGGCACTTTTGGCTTCCCTCTCACCCTCAGCCCCAATCAAACAGAGTAATTTCAACAACTGGTTCTTCACCAGCGAGAGCTTTTCATTAGGCAAAAGTGATGTGAAAGGAGAAAGTTCTGCCTCTCCTACAATGTAACTAGCATTATTGGGAGTTTACAATCATTGAGGAACTTACAATCAATGCCTTCTTCTTAACATTGGTCTGACCGAACTGATGGTGAAAACAACCAGCAAATCAAAGTCCAGGCAAACACTACTCAATATAGTATTTTGTGATTGCTTTATAATGAGCAAATTGCATGTAAAAACCCCTGACAACCAACTCGTGATTCACAAGCAGCATGAGCTCTATATATATGCAAGTAAATACATGGGGAAGTTTACTTCCAAACTCTCCTCAACCAGCCTCACTGTTTGCAATTTCTTCTATTTTGCTCTGTCAAATTATTCCTTCTACTTATGATTGACTTTTATGGGTTATCCAAGGATGTGGGTTCCGAGGAGATTGCTCATTTTAAGCACTGGGACTCTTAATTGATGCCAGTTATTGGAGGTGCAAGTTGCATGAATAGCAATGTTTTTTTTCTGGCTAAGAGTAAGTTGGACACTTGAAGGGACATAAAAATACATTCAAAGCCTCTACCCCATCAGCTCCCAGTCCTACTTGCCACCACTGGTGGCAGCAGCCAGCATCAGCAAACAGAAGGCACGCTGGCAAGGGCGTGAAGCCTTGCAGCAGGAGCTGCCTCAACTGCCGACAGCACGTGCTAGACTGGCATGAAGCACGGTGTCACAGGCGGTAAAGGAGGAATGCATGAAGACGATCCACCAAGCTGAAAGAAGACAAAACCGCAGCATCTCTCTTACTGTTTCTATTGGAGTAATTTCTTAACTAGTGGTTTCCATTTCCTACACTAGGAAATCCTCAACACCTTCTCTGTCGTCCTCCTTCACCCCACACTAGAGCCTGCTGTTCTGAAGCTTAAGCTCTGGCTGCGTTTGACCCACAATGCTGGGTGCTCGTGACAGCACTGACTCGCGCTGCGGCATGTTGCTGCAGCCGGGAGGAGCACACATGCTCCTGCAGCCTCTCTGTGGGAGCCCAAGCATGCAGCCTCGGGACCCACGCCAGCCCCACGCCAGTTGGGGGTGAATCGGCAGCAGGGTGACAAGGGCACTCTGCCTGAACGGCCTGCTGCCATGGGATAGCAGGAATTACTCATTTCCTTCCTTCACCTAGGCTGGGCAAGGGGTAGGAACGACTGACAGTCAGAGGGGGATTTCTGAGGTGCGGTGCTTAGTGGGTTGATAGACTTTTCCTTGTCCCTTGCTTATTGCTACAGCTACAACCACAGTTGGCTCCAATGCTTTAATGGGCACAGCCGCGTACCTATCTGTCTCTATTTAACAAATAAATTAAAAAGTCCCGGCACTCTGTCCAAGGCAAATACTTGCATACAGTTACCTTTCATCTTCAGCAAAGAACCCAAGGTTTGCTCCAGCTTCTGGATAGATTTCTTAGCCTTACGCAAAACCTGATACTAAACATAAGAAGAAATCAGAACTGATTGCTCTCTGCTCTGACTAGATTAATGTTTTAACATGCTTTGCTTGTTTTCCTCACTTTTCCGTCATTTTGACCTTCAGTTATCTCAATGTCTCTGTGAAAACAACTGTGTTATTTCACCAGCTACCCATACGAAAAGGAGAAAGAACTAATACCAGAGCAAACTTAAATATAGAATATAAGTATTTAGGCATATATTATGCAATACATACACATAACACCCAGTCACACAGACGTTTGCTACTTAACTCTGATCTTCTTTCATCAGCAAATGGTCTTGTTTGGATCGTTCTCTTCTTGCAGCATGTCCAGAAATACCATGCTGTGAAGTCTTGTTGGATGTCTACCAGCTTTAGGTATAAGACTTTGCTAATCATTTCCCATGAGAATTTTGCTAGGAGAAGCCTTTGCCATGTTCTACTCTCAGCTACACTGATGTAAACTGGAATAACTTCAGTGCCGCACACCATTCCTTCACCATTTACAGAATGCATAAATTGGCTGTATGAGAACATACAGCCAATGCATTTAAACATACGCATCTCAAAAATATTTCATGGGATTGGTGAGACTGCCCACTACCACCTTAGACAGGATGTCTGCCTTGCAGAGCTTTCACGCTGGATATTTTAGCCAGTCACTAAGCACTGGGATTACAAGTGAAATTCTGTATTTAGGCTCTTGAAAATATTGAACTTCCTTGGCTCCCAAAAGCCACACAAGGGGTACATGTTACTATGAAAAAGCAATTTTAAGAATTGATAGATGAACATAGTCCCCTTAGACTAGACAAAACAAGTATCTGTTTAGTCTTGGCTTCTGAGATCATGGTGACTGCAGCTTAACTTTCATCTTATTCACAACATGGCAAACTGAACTTTTACCTCGACGTCCATGAGAGGTAAGGGGGTCAGCAGGCACAAGCCCCAGACAGTACTTTGCATGTTCAGAGTCTCAAAGCCCTTTACAAGGGCAATTCCTGTCCTAAACAATCATTACACTCTCCATTTTACAAATTGGAAAACTGAAAGTAACCAATCTAACTAAATGAATCCGTGGCAGAGTTGAGGAGAAAAGGACTCCTGATGTTTATTCCTCTGCCTCGAGCATGGTAATATCCATCTTTTCAGTAGCATTTTGGGTTAATTTCATCTTTAGAAACAATTTTGTTTTGATTAAAGAGTTTCTTAGTTTAGTAGAGACCAATAAACAGTACTAGTGGTTGGTTTTTTCCTGACTTATTTTTCCAGAGTATCTTGAAGACAGAGTGTACCTCATAAGGCTGAATGAATTACTCCCTCCCCTATAACTTCTTCTATCCCTAAGCTCACTGTTCTGATTTCATAGCAAAATGCTGTGGAATCAAGATAACTTCATAATGGGATCCCTTGGTTTGTTTCCAAAACACTACAAAGAAGCCACAAAGCTATAAAGAAGCTGCAAAAACCCCGTAAGAAAAGTGCAGATAAGGCACATGATAAACCCATGACCCAGAGACTACAAAGCGAACAATTTGCTCACGCTGAGCTGGCAGCTTTAAATTAAGAGATCCAGGAAAGCTGCACACAGTGAAATTACACACACACCGGCACCTGTAAAGTTAGAGTGGTCATCCTAATACACCTGGTTAAATTTAAACACAATTTAATACATAATAGCGATGCACAGAGAAATAGTCACTGCTCCGCACCTTTGAGGCTGAGTTGTCCGACTGGGATAAAACAGCTTCCTGCAAGCCGCTGAAGAGCCTTGCCAGCGTGGCCCGGTGGCGTGCCTGTGACAAGCGCCGCTTTGCCACGCGGGGTTCTACCTCTTGCAGGTGTGTCAGGGGACTGGGACTCCCTCTGGCATGTGTCTTCCTACAGTCTCCAGCTGTCTCCATCAAAAGCTGCAATGCAACATTTATTTGTACTGCATAAATATATAAGGGAAGAAAAAGGAATCTTACAGCCTGCGTAGCGGTCAGCCAAAAAAGGAAATTTCAGGGTGACTGACAAGAGCACTCTAGCTCATTTTTCCATAGGAAATCATGGAGCTTGAAACCTTCTCTTTGCCCGAGGGTTGCCATCTGCAAGCACTGACTAAAACCTAACAACTAACATTTATTTGTACTGCATAAATATATAAGGGAAGAAAAAGGAATCTTACAGCCTGCGTAGCGGTCAGCCAAAAAAGGAAATTTCAGGGTGACTGACAAGAGCACTCTAGCTCATTTTTCCATAGGAAATCATGGAGCTTGAAACCTTCTCTTTGCCCGAGGGTTGCCATCTGCAAGCACTGACTAAAACCTAACAACTAACGATAAACTGCATGGCGTGAAACACAGTCGAGACGAGGCTCCCACCTCCTGCACCCTTCCCTGCACTGATTTGATTCTCCATTTCCATGGGATAGGCAGGGCTTGGCTCACAAAGCACTGAGACTCCTCAGCTCCCACCCATGTTACTACAAGACAGACCTCTTCACAGCATTGGAATTTCTCTCCCAATTAACCGTGACATCAG